CACCAGTCTTTCGTCTAGTAGTTGAGTGCTTAACCATTTGTGCCACCCACGGACTCCTAAGCAAGGTCACTTATATCCTGCCTACATCAGTGAGTTAACCAAAATCAAACCCATTGCCGTTGAGTTCATTTTGACTCATAGGGACCCTTTAGTACAGAGTAGAACTGCCCCATAGGGTTTCCAAGGAACAACGGGTGGATTCGAACTGCTGAACTTTTTGTTGGCAACCGAACTCTTTTTTTATTTTTTATTTTTGTTATTGTACTTTAGATGAAGGTTTACAGAACAAATAGTTTCTCATTAAACAGTCAGTACACATATCATTTTATGACATTAGTTAACAACCCATTGACATGTCAACACTCTCCCTTCTCGACCCTGAGGACTTTTTTTTTGGTGAAAATATACATAGCCAAAGTTACACCATTTCAAAAGTTTCTACATGTACAGTTTAGTGACATCGATTACATTCTTCCAGTTGTGCTGCTATTCTCACTATCCTTTTCCAAATTAGTCCATCACCATTATCTTCAACTCACTGCCTGCTAGGCTTCCCATCAAAACTTTTGAGTTGCTGTTGTCAATTTAATCTCACATAGATAATTCTTTTATTTTTTTGTACCTTAGACGAAGGTTTGCAGAACAAATAGTTTCTCATTAAACAATTAATACATGTATTGCCCTATGACAATGGTTAACAACCCCATGACATGTCAACACTGTCCCTTCTCAACCTTGAGTTCCCTATCACCAGCTTTCCTGCCCTCTCTTGCCTTCTAGTCCTTGTCCCTGGACTGCTGTGCCTCATTAGTCCTGTTTTATTTTATGAGGCTGTCCAGTGCCCGGCTGAATGGTGAACTTTGGGAGTGACTTCACCACTGAGCTGAAAGGGTGTCTGTGGGCCATACTCTCGGGGTTCGGGGTTTCTCCAGTCTGTCAGGCCAGTAAATCTGGTCTTTTTTTTTGTGAGTTAGAATTTTGTTCTACATCCTTTTCCAGCTCTATCCAGGACCCTCTATTGTGATCCCAGTCAGAGCAGTCAGTGGTGGTAGCCAGGCACCATCTAGCTGTAGTGGACTCAGTCTGGTGGAGGCCTTGGTAGCTGTGTTCCATTAGTCCTTTGGACTAATCTTTTCCTTGTATCTTGTTTTCTTCATTCTCCCTTGCTCCTGAAGGGGTGAGACCAGTGGAGTATCTTAGATGGCTGCTCACAGGCTTTTAAGACCCCAGACGCTACTCACCAATGTAGAATGTAGAACATTGTCGTTATAAACTATGGTTATGCCAATTGAGCTAGATGTTCCCCAAGACCATGGTCCCCACAGCCCTCAGCCCAGCTATTCAGTCCCTCAGGGAGTTTGGAAGTGTCTACGGAGCTTCCATGACCTTTCCTTGTACAAGTTGTGTTGGCTTCCCCAGTACTGTGTGCTGTCTTACCCTTCACCAAAGTTACCACTTATTTATTGTCTATTTAGTCCCCCCCCCACCCCTCCGATCCCTTGTAACCAACAAAGATTGTTTCTTTTTTGTGTAAACTTTTACATGAGTTTTTACAGTAGAGGTCTCCTACAATATTTGTCCTTTTGTGATTGACTTATTTCACTCAGCATAATGTCTTCTAGTTTCATCCATGTTATGAGATTCTTCACAGATTCATCATTGTTCTTTATCATTACATAATACTCCATTGTGTGTACATACCATAGTTCGTTTATCCATTCATCTGTTGATGGGCATCTAGGTTGTTTCTATCTTTTTGCTACAGTGGACAGTGCTGCAATGAACATGGATGTGCATATGTCCATTCGTGTGACGGCTCCTTTTTCTCTAGGATATATTCCTAGGAGTGAGAGTGCATTTTGTAGTGCTTTTTTTTTTTTTGTGGTGCTGACATTTTCTTTGTTCCTCTTACTCTCCTGTGCTGAGTTCCTTTTGTTTGTGGATTTTTTTTCATTTCTTCTCTTTTTGTAGGTTTTGTTTTTACTGAGACTTTATGTTTTTCTTCTTTATTTTGATGAGTAAGTTTGTTAACTTTCTTTGTGGTTACCTTGGAATTTACCCTTATCTTCCTAGATTTGAATCAGTGTATTATTATTTGGTAACACCTTGCTTTCCTCTCCATTAGAAGGTTCTATACCTACACTCTTTATTCTCTCTTTTATTGTTCTGATGCTGTTGTCATTTACAGTTTAACCTCTCTGGTTCCCTGTTGTAATTCTTTTGGTTTTGCATAGTCCTTAAGAGTGCATTTCCTAGGTCGATATCTGGCTAGTACAATCCTGTGTCCTATATTCAGCCTGTGGTATAATGTTGTTTGTTCTCAGATTGAAGGACTCCCTTTAATAAGTCTTGTAATTTTGGTTTGGTTTTTACATAGTCCCTTAATTTCTGTTTATGTGGAAATGATCTAATTTCACCATCGTATTTGAACGAGAGTTTTGCTGGATATATTATTCTTGGATGGCATTTTTTTTCTTTCAAGGTTTTATATATGTCATCCCATTGCCTTCTTGCCTGCATGGTTTCTGTCAGATAATCCGAGCTTAGTCTTATTGTTTCTCCTCTGTATGTGACTTTTTGTTTTACTTGAGCTGCTCTCAGGATTCTTTGTTTGTCTTTGGTTTTAGCGAGTGTGATTATGATATGCCTTGGTGATTTTCTTTTGGGGTCTATCCTATATGGAGTTCTTTGAGCTTCTTGGATGGCCAGCTTTTCATCTTTCATGATATTGGGGAAGTTTTCTGTCAGCAATTCTTCAATGGTCCTCTCTGTGTTTTCTGTTTTCTTCCCCTGTTCTGGAACTGTGATCACCCGCAGATTTTTGCTTTTGATTGTATCCACATAATTCTCAGGGTATCTTCATTTTTCTTTGTTCTTTTTTTCTGATTTTTCCTGAAACAGTTGTATCCAAGTGTTTGTCTTCAATTTCCCTGATCCTATCGTCCATGATTTCAAACCTGCTCCTCAGATCTTCTATGACACTGTCCATTTCTGAAATCTTGTTGTGTATCTTTTGGATCTCTAATTGTTGTTTTTGTATGTTTTCTAGTTGTGAATTTATTTTGGCATTTTGTTCCTGTATTATTTTCTTGATTTTTTCCATTTCTTTGTCTGTATTTTCTATGAATTTGTCTGCCTTTTCCATGAATTTGTCTATTTTTTCCTCATTTTTGTCTGCTTTTTGCTTCAACTCTTGGATAATTCTGAATATTAGAGATTTGAATTCCCTATGAGTTTGGTCAAGTGCCTTTTCTTCTACTGGAAGGTCATCTGGTGTTTTATTTTGGACGCCTACTAGAGACATCCTGTCCTGTTTTTGTAAATATTTTGATATTGTCTGCTGTCTTCGAGACATTTGGTGATTATTTTCCTCATTTATTGATTGTAGATTTGTTTGTTTCATCCTGCTTTTTTGTTTTATTTGGCAGGCTGTGCGTTCTTTGTTGTTTGCGCATCTATGGGCAAGATACTTTTCACCTCCTTCTCCAATGGGCAGGGTCAGTCACTCAGGTATGGTACAGCAGGGCAGGCCCAGCTGAAAGGAAGTTGCTGGGATGGGTTGTTTGTAGCACATACCAGGACTGACAGTGAAGACCAGGAATCAGTGCAGGACAGGTTCCAGTAGGTCATGCCTGTGCTGCTTGGGAGTGTGATGTTCAGCACATGGTGCAGGTACTCAGGAAGGAGGGGGTAGATTGTGATGAGTGGAGCTAAGATGGGTATGGGAAAGATGAGAGAGAGGAGAGAGGAACAGGAGCCAAAAACATACATACAAACAAAAAAGAGTGCCAAAGGAGCTTGCTATTGGAGTGGAGAGATGAGACACTGAGAAATGAGGAAAAACAAAAATAAAAAAAAGAAAAAAGGTAAAAGAAAAAAATGAATAAATCAATAAACTGAAATGAAGAAGAACAAAAAAGGAATAAGAGAGAGAAGAAAACAAAACAAAGAAACAAACAAAAAAACTATAACAAAAAAAAGGAAAAAAATCAAGAAAAAAGAAATACCCCTAGGGATGTCCCTGTGAGTCTGCGCAGAGTAAAGGAGTAGCTGCCAAGCCGTGTGGTACTGCCTGGCTTGAAGGGGATCCCAAGCTGAGAAAAGAAAAAGAAAACAAACAAACAAATCAAAACAGAACAAATAAGAGCAAACAAACAAACAAAAATGCCCTGGGGGTCCTACCAACGTGGCAGCATGGGCTAGGAAGCTATTTCACAGTCAAGTGGTGTTTTGCAGCCTTTCCGGAAGAGACAAAGATGGTGCCAGAGCCAGGTATTTGAGAGAAAGGAGGGGGAGGTGGTAAGAGGTAAGGAAGAAATCTCAATAAGCGGAAAAAAGCAACACCATCAGCCAACAAAAGGCACTCAGGGAGCTGGCCACTGTGGGTGAGTGGAATCCAAGCAACACCGGGGTGTTTCCCGGCCAAGAGACTGTGGCTGCAGGAAGTAGAGGAGGCTAAGTGGGGGTGAAGAAGGGTGGGGGGTGGGAAAGCATATAATGCTGGTTACCAGTTTTCCTGTCTCCTGCTGGAAGCTCTGTGAAGCTGCTTTCTTGTATCCCCTGTTCACTGATCTACAATAGGAGTCCAAGATGGTGGATCTGTGCTGTGATAGCTGATAGGGAACCTCTGCATGTATCTCACCTTGCTCTCTGTTCTAGGTCAGTTTCTTACTCCATTCGGTGCTTGGCTGAGTTCTTTATCTCTTGATTTGATGCATAGGGTTTCAGGATTGACTTGTGACTCTGTTTGACTTAGTTTTTCTGATCTTTGCTGTGGAGGGACAGCGTGGTGCTTCTGACTATAGTGCCATGTTACCCGGAAGTCCAGCAACTGAACTTTTAACTACTTGACCACCAGGGCTTCCATCAGATAGCAGTACTTATTAAACATTCAATGTGTTCCTTATATTTTCCATATCCTTGCAGTTATAGGGGGAGAGGAATGTATAACTAGCACTAGCCAGTAGAATGTGGGTAAATGTGATGTGTGCCACTTTTAGGCTGAAGCATATAAAAGACATCCAGATGTCCCTTTCCCACCATGGTGACCAACAAGGCCAGGCTTTCCTGGTTTTGCAGCTAGAAGACGGCAAGTCTCTGTCAGCCTGAGTCTCTGAGTGGTTTGCTCAGCGGAGTTCCCACCATCATCAACTCGCTGTCAACTTACATTGGATACGTATGGTGAGTGAGAAATAAACTATTACTGTGTCAAAAAAATTGGTGTTTAGTTGTTACCTGAGAATGACTCAGACAGCTCTGACTAATACGTAGAACTTGCCTACTGTTCATCTTTTTGCTGAAGCCAAAATGATGCTGTAGCTAAAAAGAACTGCTCTAAGTTTCTTGAATATGCTTATCTCTAATCATTTGCATATGTGACTCCCTTTCTAGATTTCTTTTCCATCTCTTCTTCATTTGTCTAACTCATACTCTTTGTCGTGGATTGAATTGTGTCCTCCCAAAATATGTGTCCAGTTGGCTAGGCCATGATTCCCAGTATTGTGTGGTTGTCCTCCATTTTGTAATCTGATTATCCTCCATTTTGTGATGTGTTATAAATCCTAGCCTCTTTGCCTGTGGTTATGGTTCCGTTTGGGAGTGAGTTGTCCATTATGTTAATGAGGCAGGATTAGGTCATGTTAATGAGGATTTCGATGGGATGCAACATCCCTATTCAGGTCACAGCCCTGATCCGATGTAAGGGGAGTTTCTATGGGTTGTGGCCTCCATCAACTTTTATCTTACAGGAGACAGAAAGAAAGAGAAGAGAGCAGAGGGAGAGGGACCTCATTACCACCAAGAAAGAAGAGCCAAGAGTGGAGCATGTCCTTTGGACCTGGAGTCCCTGCACTGAGAATCTCCTAGACCCAGGGGAAGACTGATGCCAAGACACATGGAGATCTCCAAGGAACATCGGGCCCAAGATGTTGAAAGGAGACAAAGACTTTCTCCCAGAGCTGACAGAGAGAGAAAGCCTTCCCCTAGAGCTGGTGTCCTCAATTCGGACTTTTAAACTGTAAGATAGTAAATTTCTGTTTGTTAAAACCACCCACTTGTGGTATTTCTGTTATAGCAGCACTAGGTAACTAAGACATTCATCTCCCTTTTCTCGATCAGGACATCATTTCCTCCAGTAAGCTTTTTTTAATCTTCTAAATCAGCATTAGATTCCTTTCATATAAACCACCAGCTGCAGTCGAGTTGACTCCAACTCATGGTGATCCCATGTGAGTCAAAGCTAAACTTGCTCCATAGGGTTTTCTATGACTGATTTTTTGGAAGTAGATTGTCAGGTCTTTTTTCTGATGCACCTCTGGGTGGACTTAAACTTCCAACCTTTCAGTTAGCAGTAAACAAAAAACCAAACCCATCGCCATCGAGTCAATTCCGACTCATAGAGATCCCATAGGACAGAGTAGAACTACCCCATAGGGTTTCCAAGGAGTGGCTGGTGGATTCAAATTGCTGGCCTTTTGGTTAGCAGCTGAGCACTTAACCACTGTGCCACCAGGGCTCCCAGCCCTTCCTATGGCAACTTGTATTTCCCCTGTACTTATCCCACCATGAGATAATTCCCTGCTTACTTATCCTTGCGTTCCTTTGTGTTGTAAGCAAGTGTGGGCAGAGACAATATCTATATTGGCTATCATTATATTCCTAACATGAAGAATAGTACCAGCCAGTGAAAAGTTCTCAATAAATACCTGTTGAATGAATGATTAAATGAAAAAAATCACCGAGGCTGAGTTTGTAGAGCTGGGATAAAGGCAGAGTGAGGGAGACAGCTTTTCAGCAGTTTGAAGGCAATTGAAATATGCAGTTGAAGGCTATCAGTGGCCCATTCTCCTGCATGGTTGATTGCTGGGCCTCTTGCACCCTCCTGAAGTTGTTCTCTTTCCATTAGCTGGTCATAATTTATAAAAGATATGTTAGAACCTGTTGCCAAAAATTCAGAAATACAACTGGCTCCTGAATAATAAATGGCAAATGTTTACTATAAGCCAGATGAAGATGGCCTATTTCCTTAGCAATATTTTGCTTCTAAGCAAGAGGAAAATTAATCTAAAATTTGATTGTTACAATGTCGAGGAGAATAAGTGTATATCTTTCACTTCTTTTTGAAGTTTTCTTTCTTTTTTTTTTTAAAAAAAAGTTTATTGTGGTTTGGTGAAAGTTTACATAGCAAATTAGTTTCCCATTCAACAATTTATACACATTTTGTTTTGTGACATTAGCTGCAATCCCCTCAGTGTGACAGCACTCTACCCACTTCCACCCTGGGTTCCCTGTTTCCATTTGTCCATCTTTCCTGCCCCTTCCTGCCTTCTGAACTTTGTTTTTGGGCAAATATTGTCCTTTTGGTCTCATGCGGTTGATTGTTCTGAGGAGTATGTTCCTCACGGGTGTTATTGTTCACCTTATAGGCCTGTTTATTGTTTGACTGAAAGGTGATCTCCAAAGTGGGTTCAGTTCCAGGTTTGAAGGGTGACTAAGTGCCACAGTCATGGGAGTTCCACCAATCTCTACAAGAACAGTTAATCTGGTCTTTTTTATGAATTTGAATTTTATTCTGCATTGAAGTATTCTTCACACCAAAATAATTTTCTTAATCTGGGAACAGTTTCATCCAGTGAGAAAAGCAGAAAGAAGACACTTCACATAGTACATTTTCTCTTTTGTTCTGGTTTGCCGGGGTTTGGCAATCCAGAAGCACCGTTTTCCTGAGCAAAGATAGTTACCATTTGTGAATAAACAGTGTTGTTAAGCCCATAAGGCATCAAACAGGGGAAACGCTCCCTAGTATTTTAATGAAAGTCATTCACTCAAAAATGTTCCAGCTAGCAAACTTGATTCAAATGCTAAAAATAGACCAGCTGATGGAAAAAAAAAAAAAAAATCAAATATCAGTTTCCTACTTTCCCCTTCATTTTAAGCCTCTTCTTTAACAGTTCTTTTTCTCATATTTAGAATTCTGTTGGGTTCAAGTCAGAGGCAAATAACTAGAAAACAAATTAAAAAGAAATGCTGAACAAATGTTCCAGAAGCTCAGAAACAGGCTGAGTGTATGCATTGCCATTCGCTCAATTCTATTAGAGAGTTATGGTGCAGAATATTGAATCCAAGCACCGTGATTTTTCTAGATGTCAGCATTGGTAGCTAGAGGGCTTGCTTCTCATCAAGACAGTTTTCACCCTTCGTAAGCTAGACCCTGAATAAATAGAAACTATTGATTAAGAGAAGGAAGGATGCGGAATATTTCTAATGTCTCTTAGGTTTTAAATAGTACTCCTGGGTGTTGGTTATCTGCATTGCTCTTTGCTGAGAGTCCCAGAGGTGTCTCTTCAGAAACAATCTGTGGTCTGCCCTTAGAAATAAGCCCTTTGGGTAAGTAAAAAAGATAGAAAACTTTATCTCTGCCTTTGAGAAGAGTATGAGTGGTTAGAGGAACAAAACTCAAGGAAAATTACAAACCAGCAGGGGAGCAAGTGTAAGATAATCCAGCATAAAATAGAAATATGGAGTAAAGAATCATACACTATGGAGAGAACATAGCACACGTTAGAAAGTGGGCTTTGGACTGCTTGGGATGAAATCTCAGCTTTGCTACTTATATTTAATGTGTGACTTTAGGGCAGTTACCTAATTTCTCTGCAAAATAGAGATTATAACATGTATATCTCATTTAGTTCTTCCGAGGATTAAATGAGATAATACATTGACAGCGATTATCATGATACCTAGACTACACCCCCCCCCAAAAAAAAAATCCAAAGCTGTTGCCATCAAGTCGATAGCTATTATTATTAACATCATAGACAATATGCTCTATCAGAGAACTACTTCGCTTAGATAATTTTCTACCCACTTGCTAAAATGCTATCCTTCTGTCTTCTTTTTCTGAACTAATTTCCAAAGTCAAAACTTTCTAGGACACTTTTAAACAAATTATCAAAGTTAATTATTAATAATAGTTATTATTATTATGTAATTATAATATACTAGCTGTCTTAGTTATCTAGGGCTGGTCTAACAGAAATTCCGCAAGTGGATGGCTTTAACAAACAGAAATTTATTTTCTCACAGTGTAGGAGGCTAGAAGTCTGAATTCAGAGTGCTGGTGTTAGGGGAAGGCTTTCTCTGTCTGTCGGCTCTGGAGGAGGGTCCTTGTTCCTTCAACTTCTGTATCCTTGTTCCTTGGAGGTCTCCATGTGTCTCGGCATCTATCTTACCCTCTCTCTCCTCTGCTTGCTTGCTTGTTTAATCTCTTTTATATCTTAAAAGAGATTGACTCAAGACACACACTACACTAATCCTGCCTCACTGACATAACAGTGACAACCCATTCCCCAACGGGATTATAACCTCAGGCATAGAGATTAGGATTTACAACACATATTTTTTGGGGACACAATTCAATCCATAACACTAGCCAAGTGCAAAATGTCTTACATGTATTACCTGCTTAATCTACCCAACAGACTAACACATACACACACACACACACACACACACTCACACATGCATATGTATATTTATGTATGTATGTATATTTATACATATCCACACAAATGACTGTCTTGTTTTTTGTATCAGCCTAAGGAATATGAATAAAAATTTTTCTATATATGGTTCAAGTTTTCTTGCAATTCCAGTGCACACTAATAGGGATACTTGCCATGAAAAATCATAATCATCAATATATAATAATAGTATTTACTGATATAAATATAATTGCATAATAATAATAGTTAACACTTTAGTCGCCAGTCTTCTAGGAGCTTTATGTGCATAAGTTAATTTAATACAATTACAGCAAGTCTATAGTGATCATGAAGTCCACCAACAATGTCTTCTTTTAGTTATTCCACAGTGTTTTTTATTGACTCTGAGTATATTTAACCAACCCCTCCCCCCCTTTTTTAAAATTCCTGGAAATCTTTACTTGCATTTTTATCTTTGGGTCATCCTAATGGTTAGAAAAGAAAACCTAAATTATTATTTCTCATTAATAAGTTTTCTTATTGCCCCAGAAAATAAACAGTATCAACATTAGAAGCCTTATAACTTTAGCAGAGCTTCCATAATAAATAAGAAATATTAGTGCTAAGATCATATTTTCCTAACATTTTATTACCAGCAACTTTTTTCTTATTTCCAACCAAAATCTTCTCTTATTACAAAATCATGTTTTCGCAGAAATATTTCTTCAAACAAGGTTGAGAAGTCAAGGAGGAACACGTATAATACCCAAGTCATGCGTATGTTTTGTAGCCAGGGATACTAAATGGGAAAATGATCATTTGTTTAAATCTGGTCTCCCCACTTGGCTATTCTGATTCAAATTGTATATGTCCATGATTCTAAGATACATGTTTTCTCCATTTTAACATTTTGGAAATTGGGATGCATCTTAAAGTCAATTCCTGTCAAGCAGACAGCAAAGGTCCTACTTACTTGGGAATCTAAAAGCACCATTGACAAACTTGAGAAATGGAGCACAATTTAAAAAAAATTTTCTTTTTTGAAATAATTTCAGACTTTCAGAAAAATAGTACAAAGAATTCCCATATAAGCTTTACATAGATTGCACAAAGGTTAACATTTTACCTCATTTGCTTTTTCATAGTATCTCTATGTAATACATATTCTTTTTTTTTTTTTTTTAGCAGTTTGGGAGTAAGTAGCAGACATAAAGACATTATACCCCTTTACCTATAAGTAATATTTCAAAGCGCACCTTCTAAAAACAAGTACATGCTCTCAACATCACCACAGTATCAAAATAAGTAAATTAGCAT